CGTTAGTAATTTTATGCCTACGTGTGAGACAATTTTGTTACTTCGGCGTCTCGTGTTTACCTGATAACGTTTTATGTGTGTGTTTAATCGTAAAAATTTCAGAGTAATTTAAATGGGTATTAAAATGGTTGTATTAGTATACTTTAATTGTATGGTAAATATGGCGAAGATTAGAAGTGGATCTGTAATACTAAGTTACAACATCTGCAACATCCGTTTGGATTTTACTGCATTTTCCTGCGCATAACACAAAACATTTTGCATGAAAATTAAACGTACAAAAGAGGGTCATATACTTTTATATATGCCATCAATATGGCTGATGCTAGACTCCTGGAAAGCAACCCGCGACGCCTTTTTGGCCTCACGTTTTCATCTAACCTGAAGTGAAGCGACTACATCGAATCAATAGCTGCATCTACTGCAAGGTCACCGTGTCGTGCCAGAAAAATTTTCCAACTTGCATATTTACAAATCTACCATTCAATGGTTAACTGGGACAGAAAATGACTTGTAAATTTTCTCGATTCCAAAACAAAACCTTTCTCATTTAAACCCGAGAGAGAAACTTTTCTGACGCTAGACTCCTGGAGATCAAACCACTGCGCCTTCTTGGCCTCACATTTTCAACTGACTTGAAGTGGAGTAACTACATCGAATCAATAGCTGCATCTACTGCTAGGAAAGTTGGATCACTGTGTCGTGCCAGAAGTGTTTTTTCGTCTGAATCCATCTTGCACATTTACAAATCTACCATTCACCCGTGCTTTGAATGCTATTACAATATCTAGTCTGTTGCCCCTACTATTCCTCTCAATGTTATTGACAAAATCCAAAGAAGGATCTACAATGTAATAGACCTTGACTTGGCATCTCAACATCAGCAACTTTCTCACCGTTATGGCGTGGCTTCCCTCTGTCTTTTCTACAAATATTTTCATGACTTTTTTATCTGATGACCCGACTGCATGAATATAAGTGTGCCACTAGATTGGCACCCACCCGTTTACTGCTAAAATAACTAAATGCAACCGCCACTTCTACTGCAACAGTTTCTTTTCTCGCACTTCCTGCCCGTGGAACTCTCTTCCGTTTACTTGCTTCACTGATAACTACAATCTTCAAAAATTTAAAGTCAACATCAATCGTAGTCTTCTACCTTGTAATCCTCCCTATTCTCAGTCTTCTCTTTCATTTTCATTCCCTGTAACACCCTGCGTACTTGTGGCATCCCCGCCTTGCTTGGGGTGAAATCATTAAAAAAAAAAAAATGAAAATATGCAAGCTAGACGATAATGCCACTAGGACGCAAGCGGTTTCTGCTAATGAAAGAGAATGAGAAGACTTTAGTGATGAGAAAAAACAATAAAAGCATAGAGTTCAGGAATGCAGAAGATGGCGATTAGCGTTGCAATTAAATCTTTAAAGATTGTAGTTGGCAGAGAAGCAAGAAATCGGAATGGTGTTCCAAAGACGAGAAATGCGAGAAAAGAAACTATTAGAATAGAACATGCGTTTGCATTGATCTCGTTCAATAATAAAACGGTGAGACCTAATTGCCAATCAAGTAGAACGCTTAAATTCGTGCAGTCCAGGGAGAAGGTTTATTGAAACAATTGCCATGGAAATATTTGTAGAATAGTCAGAGGGAAGTTACGCTATGTCGGTGAGAAAGTGACTGAAGTCGAGATACCAGATCAGGATCAATTATATTACAGGCTCTTCTTTGAATTTTGTCAAGAATCTCAAGATATAAATACAGTAACACCAGGCCAGATGTAGTATAAATATTCAATGTGTGAAGAAACGGTAGAGTTTAAAATGCGCAAAATGGATTCTGACGCGAAAAACTGGAGAAAATTCAGCATCTGATCGGTGATGTTGAAAGGTTACTACCTCGGTTTTTGACGTACTGAAATTTGCAAGCCAGTTATTTTCCTAATTGTTAGAGCAAGGTCAGAAGAGAGATTAATTGCAAGGGATTTAGGGGATCAGCGGTAGAGTAATCGTTAGCTATGTTGTTTTGCAAAGCATTCTGATAGGCTAGTGAGCATCATCGGGTGTCTCGCTACGATCACCTTCTAACTTTCTGGCCCCATCATTAGCTTTACGTGTTTAAAATAGTAAGTGTGCTGGTCGATATGAAGCCTGTTTTTATTTGTTTGTTTGTATGTGTGCGTGTTTTGTTTTTTTTCTTTGAAGAGTAAACTTCCTGACATGCGCTGAGTCACGCTGTGCGTCTGTATCTGCAATTGTCTATATTGATACGTGCGTATGTCTACGGTTGGCTGCGTGTATCAAAACTGCTTTTATCATTGAACCTCTTCTCTCGGTCCGGCGTCGAAAACTGCCGGTCAAAATATCAACAGGTCAACAAGGAAATACTGTTACTGTTTTCATTATCAGTCGAAATAATCATGTATCATGTCGGCACTTCCTGTAAAACGTTTCACTGAAGCAGACGATATACGTGAACGCTTAACTACATGCATCTTCTTCC